GCAGGAGATATCCGACAGGAAGAGAAAGAGGCAATTAGCTGAGCCACAAGTTGAACTGCACTCAGAGAGAGTGATGCAAGAAGCTCTTTGTCTGGAAACCGTTTTGTTCTGAAGTAAGCAGGAACACTGAGATGAAGACGAGCAGAAATAATAAATACAAACAACAGGAGAGAAAAGTTAAAAACACACTGACATTATTTATACTCAAACTTAAAATGAAGGTCTCAGTTAGTGTAGTCTTGACCACAACACTAATTAGAACCATGTTGAATTTTAAAATTCTGGTATCATGACAGCACGTCTGTATATCCTGTCCTATCTTATCTAACTGACATCCAAGTATCAAACAGAATCAAGGTTTTTCCCAGCTCTAGTTCACAGCACAAAAAAATTCCACCATAAACACTGAAATCATCCTCCGTCAGGCTCAGCATCTCCGGGACATGAAGAGCACATTGCATCATTTCCCCGAGGACACCATCACATATTTGGCAGCTAGGCAAGCTTGGCACAGCCAGAGCTGGCATGAGTGGAGGAGAAAAACATAAGGCCAGAAAAGAAAACTGGAGCCTGAAACTATGGGGTAAAAAAAATATACTCTGTGTAGTCATTGTGCAACTTTTTAAAATCATACTTATTCAGGGGACAAGCCTATTTTGAAAGCTAAACTTTCACAATGCCTTGCTGACAAACAACAACTTCGACTTCCACTGCAAAAAAAACAAAAACAAAAAAAAAAAACAGGCCGTGTGCTGGAGTGTATTCGCTCTGACTTTTGCATCCTAATCTAAAATATCGAGGTATATATGCATGAAAGAAAAACTTCTGCATGCAACACTGACATGGCCTTTAATCCCTGTTTCACAGAGCAATATGCACATCTACACAACACATCAGACAAACACAACTAATTTGCAAAACAGCCAGATTATCTGCAGGTCATGTCCCGTCATGTTCCTCTATCTGAACAGGGACAAAAGCACGGAGAGGATGGTATTCAAATAACTTTATTTATACATTAGGAACTTCCATTTGTGTAAAAGAGCATCAGTGCGCATACAGCCGCGCACACACACACACACACACACACACACACCTCTATTAAAAGCATGATACATAGGTCATAAATAATTGTTATACGCGGTTAAAAAATAAATAACAAATCCTGCTTCCAAATCCCTGAAAAGCAGCACAAGTGACGCTCTGTGTTCAAGAGTAGCAGCAACATCAGCATACAAGCTGGCCACAGATATGACGGCTCCACCCTCAAGGTGTATTGATTCAGTCGGGAGTGTTTCAGAGCGGTGCGCAGAAATAACAGCAGCGAGGTCAATACGAGACGACAACAACAACAACAACAAGGCTCTTCTGAGAGAAGAAAAGCTACAAAAATAGATTTCTTATTCAATATGGACTTAAAGGATAAAATACCAGACATAAATTGCATCATGATTCTTATTCACCAGTAGTCTAACTGGTCTGTAAACACTGAAGCATGTGTGCAATGTCAACCACACCCCTCACTTTGAAAAAAAAGAAGAAAATCTTGCTGCTGCATTGCATCCTGGTCTAATTCCTGCTGAGATGGAAGTAGATGGTATTCTGTGTTGTGTTAGTTGGTGTTTTAGAATTACTTGAGACCCAACTGTTTGACATATCATGTGTAAAAATGACACACCTCAGACATTTGTTCATGTTATTATTTCAGGATGGAGATTTACTTCACATAAAGAATCCTGACAGGAGGAGTGTCATGTGAGAGAGTGCATCAGACTGGAAAAGTCCCTGCCCCAGTTCAGGCACAAGTCTTCCTCTCAGGTTTCACATCATTAAGAGAACAGTAGCAGCAGGATTGACACGGCCTAGTTCACTTCAGTTTGTTTCACTTGGAAGTCAGGCGAATGTGGGTAACCCTAATCACTTTCTAGAAGCGCTCGTTCTGAGTCACAGGAAGCCTGACACGTCTATCATGGCCGCTCATTAATCTGAATATGGAACACAGGGTTGGAACAGACAATATGACGATCGCTCTTAAAGGGATTGTGGAGCTGTACAGACCCAGAGATAGAAAGTAGCAGTGACATTACTTTAATGGTTTACTGATATTAAATTAATGAGACAAGACAATTACAAAGGGGTATTGAAAAAAGATTGAGTCATCAATCCTATCTTCAGTTTACAGTATTTTTATTTTATCTTTGTTAGGATTTTTGTGGGGAAACGAGACTCAGAGTTTTATTCTTCAGGGTACAATTTGAGCACGTGTTTAAATTATTGTTAAGTGTTAATCCATTTGTGTCTATGTTGCATGTAGCTCTGTTATTGTTGCCTCGCTCTTTGGACTGATCATTTTATGCTCTTATCTCGTATTTATGCTCTTATCTTAACTCCTCTTATGTTTTAACTTTGTAATTTCTTATCTTACTTTGTCTATTTATGTTTTATATTTACTTTTTATTAATATTATTGTTTTTTTATTGACAATTGATTCACTTGTTTCTTTTTCTGCTCTTACCTTCTTATTGCTGTTCTCTTTTCATTTGCTTTTATCTCTTTTAGTTTCTTACATCTTTTTAAATCTTTGGTTCCTCTTGGTCTCAGCTCGTGTTGTTGGGTTCTTGTGTTGCCTGGGTTCTTGTGATGGTTCTTATGATGGTTCTTGTGATGGTTCTTGTGATGGTTCTTGTGATGGTTCTTATGATGGTCTGGTTATATATGTCTGTTGGGTATCGTGCACTTTGGGTTCTTTTCTGTTGAATTGTATTTAATTATTTTTAGTATTTTGCATTTGTTATGTTCTTGCTGTTGTTTATGTTCTTCTGTGTTTGGTTTAGTTTGTTCTTGTTGTTGTTTATGTTCTTCTGTGTTTGCTTTAGTTTGTTCTTGTTTTTGCTGTTTGTCAAAGCACTTTGTAAACCTGTGTTTTTAAAAGGTGCTGTATAAATAAAGTTATTATTATTATAATAAACAGGACTTATTTACGGCAGAATTTGATTAAATGCATTTGTAATCTTCTCTTTGTTATCTTAACTAAAACTCAGAGTTAAACTTTACATGTTTTCTTTATGACAGGTCAAATATAAATGTTATTTTCTTTACTTCTTTTGGAGACTTACACAAAATACAACACGAAAATAGATCAGAATTTGTTAAACTCTGCCCAATAATAATCTCTGTAAGATCTCAAATCATTGCCTTTAATCGAGGTCAGGTAGGATTACAAACTGATGAAGCAGAAGTTTCTCTGATAGGATCAATCAGGCTGCTGCTGTGTGCAAACCTGCAGATCTGCCAACAGTCAAAATGATAAGCCTGCAACTATACTGCATTAGTCAGCACATCTGACAGCTGCTACCCAACAACATGTGATAAATATACAACGTGCAGAGGAGCATACACTCAGGGGAGTAAGAGGTAAAGTCAGGGGGTGGTGTTGCGCTTTGATGAGCTACCCCAACAATCTGATTCCGCTAACATCTGTCCTTTTGTTTACAAGCTTTAACTGAAGCTGGGAGTGTTTTCATTTAGTTATTTAGAGGAAGTCTAACAGAAAACATGTTCAATTTATTGCTGAGTTATTGTCTGGCATGTTTGAATGTATCTGTATGTAGTAAGTTGTTGACTTTATTAGTAACACGATCCTTCACTTTCTGCTCCTGTCAGCGGGCCCGTCCTGTCCGCACGATTTACACATTAAAATCATTTATTATCACAATGTTTTTATCTTAATACACACACAAACACACACACAGACGCGTAAAGGTTATGTCTACTAGTACAGCTAATAATTATAAACAACTGTTGGCTGTCTGCTTCTCAAATCCGCCTCTTGCACTGAGCTAATCTACAAGCTAGCTAGTTAGCATCGGTAGCTAACAATTAACGTTACCTTGACTGGCGGGGTCCATGGCGTCGATTGGTCAAACTTCCCTTTTCGACAAAAAGTTAAACCCGACTGATTTGAGATTCAAACTGGGGACTCGTTGAGGAGTTTTCTCCGCTAATGTTTGTAAATCTTCCTGGTTCAAGCGGCTGCTGGCTCACACTCACAGAAAGTCGTCGACAGGAGCAAAAATCTGAACAGCCCGACGGCCAGCTCAGCTTTAACGGATATTAGTGGAAAGGTAGCGGAAATCACAGAGGGACATCCGGTGAGGATTTTCAAAATAAAGACGGAGATAGATCTGTATATAACTGTACATACACATTTTTTCTTTTAAAAAAAAAGTCTCTTTAAATCCTAATATTTTTATCAAGTTATATGTAGTCATCTGTAAATATTTTGAAAGCTAAATTACATATGTATCTTTATATGTATCTAGCATTTATTATTTTATTCGTATTAGTATTTCTTCTATCTTCTTCCTCCTCCTCCACCGACGGCCTCTCCATAACAGCTGATCAGGTGAGAAGTCAGCTGACGAAGATCAAGGCGAGGAAGGCCACAAGGTCCCGACAGCATCAGCTCCAGACTCCTGAAGGTCTGTGCAGACCAGCTCTGTGAGGTTCTTCTGCACATCTTCAACCTGAGCCTGAGACTGGAGAGGGTCCCGACTCTGTGGAAGACTTCCTGCGTGGTGCCAGTCCCAAAGACATCTCACCCCAGGGAGCCTAACCACTTCAGACCTGTGGCCCTCACCTCTCACCTGATGAAGACCATGGAGAGGATCGTCCTCAACAACCTCCGCCCCCTGGTGACTTCAAATCTGGATCCTCTGCAGTTCGCCTACCAGCCGAACATCGGGGTGGATGACGCTGTCATCTACCTGCTGCAGAGATCCTGGACTCACCGGCAGCACTGTGAGGGTCTCCAG